GTTAAAACATTTACAGGTCGAGGTCAGAGCACTTACTAGTAATTTTTTTTATGTACATACTGGAGTATTTGCCTCTAATTTCAATAACTTTTGTAGCACATTCCAGTCATTTGGGGCAGCAAATTCAAAACCAGAACGACCATAAGTAGTTTTCTTTCTAGGGATAGCAAAGGAAATATAAATAGATGATCTAGTTGAATAAATATTAGAATGAGGTTTCAGCAACTTTTGAAGATATTCAGGTAATAAGCCCAGTAGAACTTTGTAAATAAAAATATACCAGTGGGTTTCTCGTCTTGTATGCATTGATGTCCAATTCAAAAGGGAGTATAATTCGCAATGATGCGTTCTGTAAGGTGCATTAGTAATCAATCTAATTGCTGCATGATATAACGCATCTAATTGCTCCAGAACACCTTTACATGCATTTCTATACATCACATCACCATAATCAAACAAGGGCAAATAGTAGTTTCAACAAGATATTTCTTGGCTGACGTGGTAAACACAGATCTATTTCGAAACAAGAAACCAAGTCTAGATTTAGACTTTCTTCTGGAGATTAGTTATGTGGGTAGTAAAAGTCAAGGAGCTATCAAGCCAGATTCCGAGATATGTTTGATATGATTCCTAACCCCCCTCCCCCCGAATCATGTTTAAATATTGATGAAGGTGTATCGTTGAGGATGGTTTCAGACAAAGAAGGTCCGTGGATTCATGACTGTTGGAAGTTTATGAGAGCTGACCAAGAGGGGTGTAATTCTAATGTATTATTCTTAATGGAAGTGGACAGGTTTTCCATGGAGATGTACTCTATTAGTACGTTTTTCCAAGATGTAATATGTATGGTATTCCTTGATATCCAGTTCATGAGGATAGTTTTTCTTGGCGATAGTTAGAGCCACTAGGAGTAATTGACAGTTCGTACTGTTTAAATTGATTGGATGTGTCACCTAATATACAGAGGAAGGGAGACAATGGGATGTGACATCCCATAAGGTTGAATAGTGAGTCAGTAATGTTTTTCCCAGAATTTTTTAATCGAGGTGCAAACCAAGTGGCGTGAAAGTAGGTGTCTGGGGTATTTTGTGTACAATGTGAGTGTGTTTTTGAAGTAAAACACATTTTAAATAGTTTCCGTCCTGTTAGATGAAATTTATGAAGTACTGTATACTGTATAAGTTGCAGGTTGGCATTTTTTTGTTATGAAGTAGATATTTTTGCAGATTTGTGTCCAGAAAGCAGCATCGGGAGTAATGGATAAGTCTGATTCCCATTTAGCATTTGGTAGGCTTAATGTGTTGTCTGATTTTGATATCATTCTGTATATTTTTGGAGAGTAGTTTTTATTTTTTTGATAGCTCTGAAATTGGAGGGGAAAGCTCTAGATTAATTGCCTGAGTGTTGATTTTTGGTTGAATTTATGTTTTGATTTGTGAGTATTCCAAAAAACATTTACTCCCAATGTATTTCTGGACCAAGTGTGAAAATGGTGCCAGGTTATTATTATGAAGGATATGTTGAAGTTGTATAATGCCCTTTTCTGCCCATGTGCGTAAATTGAGTGGCTTCTTGTTAGCTATAAAATCTGGGTTATTCCAGATCAGGGTGTATTTAGATGGTGCAAGTTTGTGATTTGATTAAATTTCCACCAGGCTGTCAGAGCTGCTGCTATTGTTGGCGTTTTAAAACAGTGATGATTTTTGATTGTCTGATTGTAGAGGGGTAATTCTGAAATGTTAATGTCCTTACAAATTGTTTGTTCAACATCTAGCCATGTGCTTTTTGATGGGTTATGGTGAATCCATTTGTATATATTTTGGAGCTGATTGGCCAGAAAGTATTGGTAGAAATGTGGTGCTTCCAGTCTTCCTTGTGTTTTTGGTTTCTGGTAGTCAATTTAAGTCTTGGGGTCTTGTTTTTCTAATTGAATTTGGTAATGATTGAATCTAGCTATTTAAACCAGGTAAGGGTGGGTTGTGTTGGAGTCAATGTAAATTGTATGTAAAGTCATTTTAATTACTGATGTTCTGCCCATAATAGATAGTGGTAAGATTTACTCCAGTTGATTGAGTATTAAGAAATATTATATATAATATAATGATGACGGATGGTCTTGTAAATATAGTAATATATCATCAGCGTAAAGACTTATTTTGTGGTTTATATTTAGTGTTTGAATTCCTTTAATGTAGCTGTTTTGACAGATGGCTGCTAACGGTTCAATGAAAATGGTAAATATAGTGAAGGGGAGAGTGGGCATCCTTGTCTAGTCCCCCGATACATGTGAAGCTACGTGATATCAGTCCATTGGTGATGACAGTGGCTGAAGGTGATGTATACAGAATTTTAATCCAGTTAATAAATTACTCTCCAAAACCAAACCTCTCTAATATGGAAAACAGGAATTTCCAGTTGACTCTATCGAAGGCTTTTTCTGCATCGAGAGTGATTATGATGGTTTTGGCTTTTTTAATTGACGAGTAATACATTACATTAAAAAGTCTGCGTGTGTTGTTGGATGCAAGTCTACCTTTAATGAAACCAGTTTGGTCTGGATGAATTATAGATGGTGTGACTTTTTACATTCTAGTGCTTTGGTGATTTTGATTAGGGAAATTGGATGATAGCTTGACGGTAATGTTGGGACTTTATTGGGTTTGAAAAGAAGTGAAATTGTGGCTGTGTTCATGTTATCTGGGAGTTTTGATTTTTGTTTTGATTCATTTATCATTCGGATGAAAAGTGGTGATAGAATGAACCAAAAGTGTTTGTAGAACTCAGCAGGGAATCCATCAGGACCTGGGGTCTCATTTATAAAACTCTCCGTAGATTTCATCCTAAAAGTGTACGTATGCACAAAAGCAAGATTTTGCTTACTCACAAAAGTTTTCAGATTTATAAAACCATGCATACGCCAGAACCTGCGCAAAAATCCCTTTATAAATCCCAGTCAGGGGAAGATTGTGCATACGTGCATCTCCACCCCGACTCCTCCCCGAAATCACCATATATGGAGCTTGCAACGCCTAGTTTTACGATGCATAACCTCATCTGCATATCATTTCCATGCATATTTCCATCTACGTGACACCATATTTAACACCGTTAAAGGTACAAGACATTAAGGAAATATGAGATACGGACTATAAATGACATTTGTGCCATACCCAATTTTTATTGCTAAAAATCATCCAGTTTCCTTGTTATGTTTTAGCATAAATATCAAAATCCATAAAAAACAAAACTGTTTAAAATAGTTCTCAGATAATTATTCTAGAATAGAGTTGATGTCATTCATTTCCTCTTCCCAAATAGTATTTCAATTGTTTTAAACAATTCAAATCAAATTTAACTTATGCAGTTTTGCTGATAAGGTGAACATCTTTTAGCTATTTTTAGCCTATATTTATTGCAGTGTAAATAGAATTGTCTGACTCGGCGCGTCACACTGACAACGTAGCCCATTTAAAAAAAAACATGCAAATTACCATTTTCTTCAAGTTGTATCCTTCAAATACAGTGATATTTTTCATAATGTTGTGGAGATGCCTTCACATGAAATCATCACCTCCTGTGCAGCTGTGATTGTACAGTAAGCTATAATCATTGGACCTATTCAAACCGGACAATGGACCGTTCGACCTCTGAATACTGCAGTGTCTGCCATAATATCGAAGTGCGCATCATTGATCATTGTTCTCACTAAAATATTTTCTCATAACATGAGATCTGCAGTTTAGTTTAAAGATGAATTATTGTGCACCTATTGCACTCCTCGCTGTCATTAAAACAACATGCCACAGGAAAAGTGATCAAGCGCATCCATTAAATGTCTAAATTCATATAATTTTTGTTTAACTTCTGCATAATGACTTTGTAATTTCAGTGCTTATCTCCATTAATGAGAGTGGAATATTTAATGAAAATGTGGATATCGAAATGAAAACTTCACTACTTTTCTCACTCCAGAAAAAAAGAGTGCGTACGCATGGTCTAGAATGTCCGTACGGACATTAATTTTTTATTATTTTTTATAAATCCCGATATGTGTGTGGAAAATTGCGTACGCAACGTTTATAAATGAGACCCCTGGTGCTTTATTGTTCGGCATGAGTTTAAGGGCATTAAAAAGTTCATGTTCTGTTAAGGGGGACAAGAGAACTTATTTGATGTTTACTAAGTTGAGGTATTGAGTAATGAATTGATGTCTTTCTGATTCGGGTCTCTTTCAGAGGAATATAATTTACTATAAAAATGTTGCCTATGAATTAGGAATTGGGCATGTTTGTTGATTTAATTCATTTAATTTAAATTTATATTTTCTTAATGTATCCTGTGTTTCATCTGTTGGGTTATTTATGTTAATGTCTCCTAGTTCGATTTTTTTTTTTTTTTTTTTTTTTTTTTTTTTTTTTTTTTTTTTTTTTTTTTTTTTTTTTTTTTTTTTTTTTTTTTTTTTTTTTTTTTTTTTTTTGTTTGTTCCAGTTGCTTGTTCCTTCTCTTTCTTTTTTTTGTAAACTGAGAATGAAAATATTTTTTCCTCTTAGTACTGCTTTCCCTGCTTCCCACAGAAGAGATGGAGATGATTCCGGGGAGTCATTCATCTCTAGAAAGCATAACCACTCTTTTTTAAAATAACTGTCAAAGTCATGGTCTTTCAGAAGAGATGTTAAATCGCCATCTAGTAATGTGGACTAATTCTATTCCATTTTAATGTTACTGGGGCATGATCACTAATGCCTATTGGATGGATCTTTGATTCAGAAATATTTGATATGATTGAATTACTGGGGAGAAAGAAGTCATGCGGGAATATAAATGGTGGACTGGTGAGAAAAAAAAAAAAAAAAGTATTATTTAACGTTAGGATGCTTATCTAAAATTTCATCATTAAATAAAAAATGTTCTGAATTAAACCCAAATGTTCATATTTTTGCATTCAGTAGTTCTATCTATCTATCGCTTTGTTTCTGTATTTTTTGCTATGTTTAGTGTTGATGCTATTATGCAGCCACTCTGGACTCACTCAAGGTAAATAACTTGTTCATATATCAAATCTGAAATATCTCAGTTTAAGCATAACAGGTAATGATTTTTAATGTATCCATATTTACTCTTAAATGTATTAACTCAGTGGAAGCAAAACCTGTAGTGAAGGTGACTCCAGATCAGCGTGTGTTCAGAGGAGAGACAGTCACTCTCACATGTGACATACAGAGAGGAGGAAACGTTCAGTGGACATACAGCTGGTTTAAAGATGGAAACACTTTCTATCCATACAGAACAACAGCAGCAGAGATCAGTTTCAGAGCTGATGAGTCTTACAGTGGTAAATACAGCTGTAGAGGAGAGAGATCAGACTCACAGAGATCAGACACCAGTGCTGCTGTTACACTGACTGTATCAGGTGAGTCTTCAGATTCACATCTGTTTAATGCTCATTTAATCAATATTTGTGGCTCAACACTTTTCTTATATTCTTCTGTATCAGCCACATCTGTTCTTATTAAAGCCTGAAGCAATTCACTTTTAGATGCAGAACTGCATATGCATATGAAGCCTCAGTAGCAAGTTCACTATTCAATATTTTGTGCACAAACAAGTAAAATGTAACCATACTCATTTGTTTTATTTTCTGGGCAAACATGCCTGCTTGTATACAGATGAAGCTTATTGTTATATGTTCAGGATGCATAAATGTCAAAATTATTTTTCTGATGCTGACAAATAATCAATGATTTGTCTAACACATCTGAACTCTTCAGGATCTAAATCTGTTCTTGTTCTCCTGCAGATCTGAAACCAAAGCCTGAACTCACAGCAGATCCTGCAGGAGCTGCACTGACAGGAAACACAGTGACTTTGACCTGTCGCATGGATCTGTCCCCTGGATGGGACTTTTACTGGTACAAACACACACTGAACTCTGAGACAAAGACAGAAACAAACTCCTACAGAGTGAAGATTGATTCAGTGTCTGATGGAGGCCAGTACTGGTGTAGAGCTGGAAGAGGGAAACCAGTCTACTACACACAACACAGTGATGCACTGTGGGTAAATGTTACAGGTGAGAGAGAACATAGTATGTGATGAACATAGAGATCAGAGACAATATCTGCAGAACTTCTAAAACTTTGAATCAAAGATAAATGCAATAATCTGTGTTTGTACAGTGAGTCCTAAAGCTGTGGTGACGGTACGGCCTGATGAACAAGTGTTCAGAGGAGAAACAGTCGCTCTCAGATGTGATGTAAAGTGGGGAGGAGACACTGAGTGGACGTACAGATGGGAAACAGAGGGAACAAACTACCAACATAACTCTGTCAGACGAATCTCAACACAAGAGTGGAACATCAACAGTGTTAAAGACTTTCACAGCGGTAAATACAGCTGTACAGGACAGATGGGAACACAAAGCTCTCAGCACAGTGATGCTGTTACACTGACTGTATCAGGTGAGTTTGTGTGTTTGTTCATTATTATCAGTGTGAACAGCTTCTCTCTCAGTCTCTCTGTGGCTCTATAACTCCTCATGTTTTGTTCAGCTGAAGCTCAGGCAGCAGTGCGAGTGTCTCCACAGCCGTGGCTGACTGAAGGAGACTCAGTGACTCTGATCTGTGAGGTTACAGGCTCCTCTACAGGCTGGACGTTCAGCTGGTTCAGAGATGATGATCGTCTGTCCGACAGCAGCAGAGGAGCTGGAGGCTCTTACACTCTCAGTCCTGCTGCTCTACAGCACACAGGAGTTTATACGTGCAGAGCAGAGAGAGGACGACCAGCCTATTACACAAAGTACAGTAACACACAGCCACTGTGGATCACTGGTGAGTCAAATCATCTGTCAACATCTTTGTTTTAAACTCATTTGATCTGTAATGTTACGCCTGTCAGCAATTATTAGAACATGTTTTCTTGACAGTGAAGATGTTTAGTGACTAGAAACCTAAATTTAATAGATTTCTAGAGTGTTTGTTCCTCTACAATTATTCAGCCTTTAGTAACTGCTGGTAAAAAATGCTTCGCTAGCTCCACCAGCAGGTCAATTTATGAAGCATTTGGTCTTCACTAAACATCTCATAATCTTTAGACTGATTGCAAATGGATTTTTGATATTGAATCTTGTTTGAAGTAATGCATAAATCAGTAGGACACATTATATGATACACCAGTCAGGGATGTATTAATTTGTTTAAAAGTGACGGTAAAGACATTTATGATGTTACAAAAGATTTCTATTTCAAGTAAATGCTGTTATTTTGTCCTTTTTAACAAAAAAAAGACATTATGTGAAAATCTGAAATGTCTTTGTAAGTGTATCTCAAATGACACAAGCTGCATAACTGGGTTTCATCTCTGTCTCAGGTGTCTCTCCTTCAGTGTCTCTGGTGGTCAGTCCCAGCAGAAGTCAACACTTCTCATCTGACTCTCTCTCTCTGAGCTGTGAGGATCAGAGTAACTCTACTGGATGGACAGTGAGAAGATACACAGACAGAAACACAGAAGATTGTTCAAAACTAACAGGATCTACATGTCGGATTGTCTCTCTCAGCACATCTGACGCTGGAGTTTACTGGTGTCAGTCTGAATCTGGAGAGAAACGTCATCCTCTAAACATCACTGTTCATGGTGAGTTGAATGACATAAAACTAGATCAAATATAATAGATGATCTGTTTTAATACACATGTTGCCTTCCTCATCTTAATAGATGTGTTTATCTGTACAATATGTGTCACCATCATCTTCCTACATGCATGTATCTCTTGTGTTGTGTAGATGGTGATGTGATTCTGCTGAGTTCTGTTGATCCTGTGATTGAGGGAGATACTCTGACTCTACACTGTTTACATCGATCTACAAACTCCCCGATCCTCAGAGCTGATTTCTATAAAGACGGATCACTCGTCCAGAATCAGACGACAGGAGAGATGAACATCACGACTGTCTCAAAGTCACATGAGGGTTTCTACTACTGTAAAACAGAGAGAGGACAGTCAGCTGAAGCTCAGGCAGCAGTGCGAGTGTCTCCACAGCCGTGGCTGACTGAAGGAGACTCAGTGACTCTGATCTGTGAGGTTACAGGCTCCTCTACAGGCTGGACGTTCAGCTGGTTCAGAGATGATGATCGTCTGTCCGACAGCAGCAGAGGAGCTGGAGGCTCTTACACTCTCAGTCCTGCTGCTCTACAGCACACAGGAGTTTATACGTGCAGAGCAGAGAGAGGACGACCAGCCTATTACTCAAACAGTAACACACAGACACTGTGGATCACTGGTGAGTCTGTGTGACAGCATTTATGCTTGTATTCATCTGTATTTGTGTTTCATTACAGTCTCTGGCACGGGGGGCAAGACCAGTCTAGATCAGATCAAAAGCACTAACAAATACACACTCATATTATATGCATGATATAACACTTCTTATTTTAAAATTTAGAGCTAAATTTCAACTTAATTTTACTTAATTACAGATTTTATTACACAACACGTGTGTTGTTAATTTTGAGTGGGATTTTCCTCTTTTCAGGTGTTTCTCCTTCAGTGTCTCTGGTGGTCAGTCCCAGCAGAAGTCAACACTTCTCATCTGACTCTCTCTCTCTGAGCTGTGAGGATCAGAGTAACTCTGCTGGATGGACAGTGAGAAGATACACAGACAGAAACACAGAAGATTGTTCAAAACAAACAGGATCTTCATGTCGAATCGTCTCTCTCAGCACATCTGACTCTGGAGTTTACTGGTGTCAGTCTGAATCTGGAGAGAAACGTCATCCTCTCAACATCACTGTTCATGGTGAGTCCTGTTAGATCAAGTCTTCGCATCATAATTTTCTGATCCGACCCCGGATGCCTGATCCTGCTAAAACCCAGTCTGCAGAGTTTCGTCTGACACCCCAAATCCATAAACAGCAAGTCCTGCCTGGTTCCCAAAACTGTACTAACAGTCTTCTGTCAGCCAAGAAGCTGACAGAGAAAGCCACAGAAGAGCAGAAGCAAGAGACGAATAATGATGATAAAACATGAGCAGAATTTATTGATTAATGTTAGTTGCATTTATGTTTCAGTGCTCAGACTTTGACCAGCACAAACAAGCAATAGCAATGAAAAAATTACTGCTTCACAACACTGTCCTGTGACATTAAAAACCTTGAATTTGAGTCATTCTCTTACTCATGAAGACAAATATCCCTTGATACCACAAAATCATAAGATTAAACTTAGAGATTAAAGATGAAAGAAAATTATAATAGTATAATATAAAATAAAATGATTGATCAAATGAATGAATCAGTGAAAACAGTGAGTATATATGGTTAACTAATTATTATAAATGATGTATTGTTTCTATGTCTGTACAATATGTGTCACCATCATCTTCCTACATGCATGTATCTCTTGTGTTGTGTAGATGGTGATGTGATTCTGGAGAGTTCTGTTGATCCTGTGATTGAGGGAGATACTCTGACTCTACACTGTTTACATCGATCTACAAACTCCCCGATCCTCAGAGCTGATTTCTATAAAGACGGATCACTCGTCCAGAATCAGACGACAGGAGAGATGAACATCACGCCTGTCTCAAAGTCACATGAGGGTTTGTACTACTGTAAAACAGAGAGAGGACAGTCACTGCACAGCTGGATCTCAGTCAGAGGTGAGAGTCAGTGGAGTTCAGTCACTGTCAGCTGATTCGATTTCATTCATGAGCAATCAGTTACAGACAGCTGTTTATTATTTCACATAACATAAATGTATCAAATCATATACAAAATATACTTCATATTGTGCTGTTATTGTAGCCAACTACAAGTGAAATCATCACCTCATTAACAACATCGTATAATTCATTATGAAGAGTGTTGTAATTACACTCACTTAACAGCCTTAAAATAAAATCAGATCAAGCATTTTAGTGACGTTCCTGTCAAGTTATGTCTGTCCATAAATACAATTATTTTCCATTCAAAATCAGCTAGGAATGAATCTGAATGTGCTCGTGTCAAGTACAGTATTTTTGGAGTGAGGAGGAGATTGGTGTATCCCCTAATGACCATTGAAAATTTCATAAATTAATATACAGGCAAACAAAAGTGCCGTAACAGTCTAATTTTACAGACCTACATTTCATTCTTCAGCATTATCTATTAGTGTTAAGGAAGAAACACTGATGTTACATGTGAAGACATAATGTTAAGCCAATTTAGTTTGTGTTATGTCAGTTGGGCCTTTAATATAGAGCTTATATTGTTCAATAATGTGCTTCTGTTTGCTTGTCCATCTGTTTTTCAGTATCAGGTTCAGGTCAGATTTCTGTCTTCAACATCCTCAGTTTTCTTCTGGCAGCTTGTCCGTATCTGCTGGCGACAGTCGTGCTGCTTTTCAAATGCTACAGAGCGAGAGGTAAAACTTCTGTCTGATCCGTCTCTCTCCCTCACAGGGTCTTTTCTACAAGCTAAAAAATTTATATATTTTTTTGTGTATTTCACAGTTCCATCTGCTGAAGACCAAAGCCAGTATGCAGTGAGAGAAGAAACTTCAACCTGATGTTTTAAAAAAATCTGAATATTTATCATACTGTTATTTCTGTCAGCATATTTGATTTACCTTATATCATTTATATTTGAGTGTTATTCTGCTTTTATTTCCTCATTTTTATATCCTCAAAAGAAAGGGGGAAAAAAAAGATTTTGTTGGTTTTGGTCACCAGTTGCCTGTTTTAGATCACTTAAGTATTTAGTTAACATTAGAGACCAAAGTTTTATTCTGTGTCACATTCTGTATAAATGAATAAATTAAATTAATGTGTTTTCCAAAAACTGTGTAGCATTATAGGAGTAAATAAATATCTCTGTTTGTCTTGCATGTGTATCATCGTTTGTAATTCATCATCTAATCCAAAAACAATGTCAACTATGTCTTATATATATTGAAAAACTGAATGTGAGGGACACCATTATTCCTTATAAAACAATTTAATAGAACAGACCTCCACTGACAAGAGGTTGTTTTTTTTTTGTTGTTTTTTTTTCTTACTGAGAAAACTAATTGACTAAGACGATTAAAAAGGTCCCTCAAGTTGTCCATATTCAGAGAAATAGCCTCTTAACATTTATTAATCTTCTCAAAAAACAGGCTGTTTGTTTTTGAAACTGTAGACAGATGCAGAAACCCTCTGCTGACGAAAAAGTGACATTTTAAGATTAAATGTATTGCTTTACTTGCTATATGGAACACAACATCCATGTCTTTATTTTTTTTTCCAAAACCCACTAAATGAACCACTTTATGGCAAGCCGTTTTAACATTTAATCTATAAACCGCACTGTTACTTGTACTTATTTTTTTTTAGACACTAGTATATTTTCTATTAAGTACTAGTACTTATTAATTAACTACTAGTGCTTATTCTTTAGATACTAGTGTCTTTTGTAAAGTTACTTGTACTTATTCATTAGATACTAGTACTTAATCATTAGATCCCAGACAGCAACATAGTGTTGGCCCAGATCCGTCCCACATCTGGCCCATGTGAAATCCATGCGGGCCGGATCTGGGCCGAAACTGTCTGCTGTCTGGGATACTACTTATTGATTAGATACTAGTACTTATTGATTAAATACTAGTACTTATTTATTAGATACTAGTACTTATTTCAATGGTGACTAGCAGGGGCGTCGCACCCGTGGGGGATGTGGGTGTTTTAACACCCACACTTTTCCCGGTGAGAGGGTTCAACACCCGCACTTTTTCTGCAGTTTTTCCGCAGTTTTGCACAAACGCCTTACTACAGTCGCTCCTCCGTTTCTCTGGCCGCTCTGTGTCTGCGCTCGCTGCGGCTTGCCTCCTCTCCCCCTCCCTCTCAAACATGACACCGGCTTTGAGTGTGACCGGCTGATGATTGGCTGTTCTGCCTTAAGTCCCGCCTCTCTTGGTGTGTTAGATTTATCGGTCAGCTCGTGCTGAGGCGGCGGGAACTTATGGTAAATGGTTATTTACATCTCCCTTTTCCAGGTACTTTGAATGAGTGTTTATGCTTTCGAGGTTTTTAAATAAGCTTGATATGTGTTTGGGAAGATGTTCTGTTATTGTTTTGTTTTATTTTCCGTGTGTTCCGAGTGTGTTTTTATACTTATCTAGTATCACTCATTTAAATGGGAAGCTTTTTATATCTTGTATGTTATACATTTTGTACCCCTCTGTCACTGTATTCATCGTTTTTATTGTTAATAAACAAACCACATCCATCCCCCGCACTTTTGAAAAGCTTGCTACGCCCCTGGTGACTAGTAACTTTTATATTGCTACTAGTAACAAATTTTACATTTTTGCCATTGACTTCTATGGGGAACCGTTAGATACTAGTACTTGTCCATTAGATACTAGTACTTATTTATTAGAAACTAGTATTCATTCATTAGATACCGGTACCTATTACATATATACTAGTACTTATTCAATAGATACTAGTACACATTTATTAGATACTAGTACTTATTCGAAATGTTACTAGTATGATTTTTTATTTTACTAGTACATTTTTTAATTGAACTCTACTGTAGCCATTTGGACTAAGAGTCAACCACGCCTACCTAAAACGGCTCGTTCTAACACGCCCCCACATACCTACGTCACTATTTGGGCGGCGTTATGCAACTCTTCCCAGATAGTGACGTAGGTATGTGGGGTGTGTTAGAACGAGCCGTTTTAGGTAGGCGTGGTTAACTCAACTTTTATAAAGAATATCTCTTTGGTTTTGAGACTTTAGTGTTTGCAACTTTACAGATCTTCTTTATGCACCAAGAGCTTGTAACACTCCAAAGAGAAAGGAAAAATTGAAATCGCATCATATGACCCCTTTAATTGAACTCTACTGTATTTGCCATTTGGACTAGTCATAACATACGACCAGTAAAAAAGCAGATTTGACTAGTAAGATAAGAATAGTTACTAGTAGTAATTACAAAAGATACTAGTGTCTAATACATAAGTACTAGTACCTAATGAATAACTACTAGTATCTATTAAATAAGTACTAGTATCTAATAAATAAGTACCAGTATCTAAAAAATAAGTACTAGTATCTAATGAATGCTTACTAGTAATATTTAAATAGATACTAGTCACTATTGCAATAATTACTAGTCAGAAATTAAAAGATGATATCAAAAACAAAATAACTACTTCTCCTTGTTCATTTGGAGATATCTTCAACCTCATAAAGAACTAGTGAGAATGTATTTGGAGATATCTTCATTTAAACAGATAATTACATAAACATGAGTACCTCTCCACCGTCCAATCAGAGTCCACGTGGTAATACAATACATTAATATGCAGAATTAATATGATTGTTAAAGGTCCCATATTGTCAAAACTGAAATTTCCTGGCTTTTTTCACGATTACTGAGGTCTAGGGGCTATTTAACTACCATATAAGTTTCAAAACAGTCAGTCCACAGTAAAATTCACACAGCCTGCTTAAAGTTCTAGCTATTTTTCACGAACCGTTGTGACTTCCGTAAAAAGTTGACGTCAGAACTACACAGCCTTCAGTCACCACCCCGAGCACCGCCCACAGTCCCACTCTCCTTTTGCCAAACCCCCAGACAACATCACATCCATGCTTTTGCTGAGCAAGGAGTGACATGTGGCCAAGTATGGTGGCCCATACTCGGAATTAGTGCTCTGCATTTATCCCATCCAAAGTGCACACACACAGCAGTGAACACACACACACACCGTGAACACACACCCGGAGCAGTGGGCAGCCATTTTTGCTGCGGCGCCCGGGGAGCAGTTGGGGGTTCGATGCCTTGCTCGAGGGCACCTCAGTCGTGGTATTGAAGGTGGAAGAGAGCGCTGTACATTCACTCCCCCCACCTACAATCGCTGCCGGTACGAGACTCGAACCCGCAACCTTTGGGTTACGAGTCCGACTCTCTAACCATTAGGCCACGACTTCCCATATCTTCCAACATTTTCTATTGATATAGAAAAACAACATTTGTGGCCAAATTGTGCAACCTTACAAGTACAGCAAACCTGGTGTTTTTTTGTTGTTGTTGTTTTTTTAAATACATTTTGCCCTTTTTTCCAAATAAAGAAAATGTTTGTCTGAAATCCATAAGGTTTGGATTTTGTGTGCCCTGTGAAAAGCATTAATTTAAAAACATTCAGTGTCTGTAGCACCAGTGTGCCCTGTACAGAACATTAATGTAAAACATTCAGTGCCTGTAGCACCAGTGTGCCCTGTACAGAATATTAATGTAAGTGTGCCCTGTACAGAACATTAATGTAAAACATTCAGTGTCTGTAGCACCAGTGTGCCCTGTACAGAATATTAATGTAAAACATTCAGTGTCTGTAGCACCAGTGTGCCCTGTACAGAATATTAATGTAAAACATTCAGTGTCTGTAGCACCAGTGTGCCCTGTACAGAATATTAATGTAAAACATTCAGTGTCTGTAGCACCAGTGTGCCCTGTACAGAACATTAATGTAAGTGTGCCCTGTACAGAA